TCTCTCTCTCTCTCTCTCTCTCGTTTCGTTCAAGTCTCTCTCCCTCTTTCTATTTGATTATTTCTCCTCTCGCGCTCGGTGTTTTACACGGTACGTAATCAAAGTCGTGACTACCGTTCGTTCGCACGATGGAGCCACCACACGAGGGATTTCATTCGAGGCTGTTATGGATGGAGCTGGGTTTAAGCCCGCGATCAACTATCAACCAAGATCACAGGTTAGTTGGGGTCGGTACTCGTTCAACGCTTTTACCTTTGCCTAGATGCGCCAACGGATATCCAACGCTTAAATGGGAAAAGCTTACTTAAATATCTCCCCCTTCGTAATAATCGGTGAGTGAAGAGAAAAACATGAAGGGACGAACTCTTTTTACAAGTTGGTACTAATTTCCCTAACAATCTCTATTTTCATAGTGCGAATTCCGAAGCTAGGGAATTTAGCTAGCCCTTGGAATTAATTCTATTAGAAGAAAGTAATATTATTTTTCTTTTTTTTGAGAGGTGAATAAATATTTTTATCGTTTCTTGTTTTTTTATCTAAATAATAACAATACAATTATCTGTTAATTTTTGTCACTGAAACTTTTATTCCGCATTTTTGTATTAAAATCGATCGGCGAGTGCAAAGGGTTAATACTGCCTATATCTCGATATTAATAGCGCAATAACATCTACGAGAGTTGTTTCACGAGCGTCTGGACGATTGACAGTTGTATTCATCATAGTCAATATCGCGGGAATCGTTTTGCGAACTCGTGTTAATCTCATTGAGTAGATCGTGATGCTCGTGCCATCTAGTTGGCGATCACGCTCGCTGCAATCGGTCTTGCCAGTGACATTTATCGATTTGTATCTTGGACTCGGGCGTTTGATTTAAAAATCATTTAAGAATGCATTAATTCAAAGATGACAGTTTCTCATTTTTCCTTCTTCCTACCGAAGAATCGTTCAATGCTTTCTAGATTTCCATTCCAGAGTTTTGCATCCGGAGCGATATAACCTCTCTTTTTCGATGACTCCTTTTTCTCCATTATACAATTATCGTGATGTTTATCGACACTCCCTCGACTTCGAGGGAAAGACTTGTCTCTGTATCTTTATCGTGGGAATAGAAGAATCGGCTGGATACTTAAATCCAGCACCTTCTAGCTACGTTTTATTACTTGTATTTCGTGTTGAGTGACAATGTATTACAATGAAAGCAAAAGAGTGATTAACACATTCGAGATTAGTGAAAAGTGTTTCATATATTGGATTATTGAAAATCTCACGATCACGTTTTCTGTTTTCAGAAGGTTTAAAAGTGTCATTGCGTGTTATAAAGTTATTTCCAGATACGTAAGTAGTTTCTAAGTACTATTAAGTGCTTCTAAGAGAGTGCATAAATTCCAGAAAGTTATTATAGAGACATCATTAAAAACAGAATTTTAAAGAAACGTTTTTCGAGTTATAAATATTAGTTTTATAATATACAAATATTATAATATTTCCCATTTTGTCGAATGTTTCATTATATTTATCGAAAATCAATATCGATCACGGTTTGATTTTTCCTACCATCTCGAATGTGTTAAGGAATCGAGATGAATTTTAATATTGCACTTACGTTGACTGAATTGTAACTTACGCTCGAGTCTAACGGATTTAACTAAAAACGTACATTTCCTTACGTCGATTAATTCGTTATCCCTCGATGCTTCTTCCTTCTTACGTAAAATCGTATCATCGAAAAGATCGTAATCGTAAATCGTTCGAAACGTTTTCGGCGAACGAAAAATTTCTCTATTTGTTAAGTTTTTCCATTTTATCTTTCTATTCTGTTAAAAATACTCTACAATCGAAATTGTTACTGAAACTGTTAATCCCGCGAACAACGTACAAACGTATATTAATTGTTTGTAACCAAGTGTGCCTATTCGGCCTTCGGGTAAAAGAAAAAAAAAAAAAAACCAACGGTTTTTACAGTTTTATCCGGCAAAGTAGGTTGCGCTAGTTTGCTCGAGTGGAAAAATGGATCTCGATAGAGGGTGATTGCGATTGCGGGTCGTGTGGTGCAATCTCGGTGAAATAAAAATTCCCGAACGCCTGTCCGGCGTGTTCCGTTCCCTTCCTCGGCACGAACGTTTAAATGTTAGATTATACAATAGCGTGCCATGTCGGTTCAATCGTGT